TGTAGGTACCGCCCAGCCCAGCTCCCCGGGCTGTTTTCATGCTGCATCTACAAGTTGCCGGGAGGTTCTGCTCTATGTGGAGCTCCCCACCTTGCATGCTGAGTTCTCTGAGTTTTGGGGAGTAATTTTAGGACCTTTGAATTCTGTTTCTGTGTCTGTCTGTGCTGGGATGAATCTCCCCTGGTGTCTGCATGACCAGCTGCTGCTCATCTTGTTGAGATTTTATGCCCTGAGCTGGGCCTACCCTGGTTACATACATTTCATTTTCATGACACACCCAACCCAGCACCTCCAAATTGTACTGCTCTGTGTAATTTTCTGTGTGCTGGGCTGTGTTATTTCCTCCTGACATTAACACAATTTTGTATGCTTACAACAATTTTGTACATTTATTCTTATCCCAGCAGAATGTGGCAGCTGGAGAGCAGTAACCTTTTTAGTTCTGTAGCCTTGTCACCCTCTTAGAACTGTGCTGGGAACATAGTGACTGCTCAGTGGGTGTCTGCTGGAGGAATGAATGAGTGAAATGAATGAATGATAGGAGGGGGAATTACGACACTATCTTCATTGTGGAGAGGACACGGGAAGGTGGGTGACCCCACTATCCTAAGGTGTTAGGGATGTGGGATCCCTGACTGGTAACTGAGGTGAGGGAGGTTCACTCCATCTTTCTCCACAGGACAGAAATAAAGATGAAGGTTCACTCAACTTCTCTTCAGCCTTTTGGTGTCTGACCTCCTCCTTCTGCTACTCTTAGGTTGTTGCAACAGTGAATTCTCTTCATGCTGCTTCCTATTTTACCTAAAGTTAGGTAATTGGGTTAAACACTGGAATTCCCCAAATCTGGTGTTCCTGTGAAAGCTTTTTTTTTGAGAAAGAGTCTCATTTTGCTCATCTTTGGTAGAGTGCTATGGCATCACAGCTCATAGCAACCTTAAACTCCTGGGTTTAAGCAATTCTCTTGCCTCAGTCTTCCAAGTAGCTCAGACTACAGGCACCCACCACAATGCCTGGCTATTTTTAGAAATGAGGTCTTGCTCTGGCTCTGGCTAGCATCGAACCTATGAACTCAGATAATCCACCTGTCTTGGCCTCCCATGCGCTGGGATTACCGGTGTGAGCCATTGTGCCCATGTCCTGTGAAAGCTATTCAATCCTCAATCTCCCACCACCTTGTGCCCAGGAGAGACAAAATCTCCAATTGTGCCTGTGAAGGAGAGGCTGAAATATTACTGCTGTCTGTGGTACTAATGAGAGCAAGACGTATCAATTGACATTATGGTGTGGTGGGAAGATTGGAAATTGCTGTTTCTGAGGACCTGGAAGAGGAACAAAAAAAAAAAAAATGGAAATCAGAAATCTCAGACTGAGGAGCAAAGGTGCAGATGTGATGACCTGCCACCTCTGTTATATTATGAGTGAGGCACTCCAGAAAGACCCACTCTGTCACCAGAACATTCATTTGAATGCGGCACCTGTGAACAGCTGGCCAGGGGTTTTCTCTTCCTATCCCCTGTGGATTCCCGAGTGCAGCCCTGGAACACAGGCAGGGCAGGGGCTCTCATCAGCCATCTCTTACTGCTGTGTCTACAAATTCCTGGTCCTGGAGCCTGTGACCTTCCTGACAGTTGTTGAATGAATGGATGGCTCACTGGTGGAGGCAGATATGAAGGCAGAGTGGGCAGGAGCCAACTGGCCTTGGTGAGAGCTCCTACTTCCATGTCCTCCTCCTTCCTGTTCCCACGGTGGGGGGCGGGGGGGGAAGCTGTCCCAGGACATGGAGGTGTGGGGAAAGACGGCCACTTCTTCCCTAAGCAGTGCTGAAATCTGCCCATATCATGACCTGAACTATTTACCTTTCACATTTGACTCAAATTCTGGATCCATCCCTAGTAAAAATTACTAATAAATGGAAAATTGATGAACTCATTTAAAATAAATATCTCTAAAGCTAAACTTTTCCTTTTTTTCTTTTGGCTTCACTATATGCATAGCATTCCTATTTTTTTTTCTTTTTAAAAACACTATGTAACCTAAAGTTCAATTCTATAACAATATTTATGATCATAATCAGGCAGAATCAAAAGTGTTCATTTTCTGCTTTGTCTCTGGGGCCCCTGTATCTTCTGGGTCCATTTCAGTCTTTTACATGTGGATATCCAGTTCTCCCAGCACCAAATATGTTCATTTTCTGCTTTTTCTCTGGGGCCCCCAATCTCCTGTGATGGAAATAACATCAGAGAAAACCAGAGCTAGGTGCAGTTAAAGCCTCAGGATCAGATTTACTCAGGAACTACTGTAATACAGTAAATGAAACCTTGGTGTTAAATTGGACTCAACACTGATATATGAGAACAAGTAGGGATCAGATTGGTGTGTAGGGTGGGGGTTGGTGGATGGAAAATTACCATAGGGCCATATCAAAGCTGATGGGATCCTGGCTAAATGGACTCAGTTGGATTTGTGTGTGTGTTTGTTTGGAGGCAGGTGATGGTGATCACCTGCCTCCATGGGGGACAGCAGGGCATGAGGAATTTGGTCAGCTATGGTGGGCAGGGGTGGGGGGAGATTCACTATAGGCTGAGTTAGGAGGATTCCTGTTAAAACCAGACTCTGAGAGGAAGGACCCTGAAGCCCACGGTAAGGACCTAGTTGTGGAAGGGGGTTCAGAGGAGCGTGACTGAAGAGTGGTCAAGGAGAGGGTTTGTCAGTTGCTAGAGAGCAGCTGAGGCCTTGCCTTCTTGGCCTATGGGGGGGGGGCAGGGGGGATAAGTCTGTGCTTCATGCTGCAGTCTCTCCACTCCACATCTCTATTTTCCATAAATCTCAGGGTAGGGAAGAAAACAGTCTCTAGAACAGATTGTAACTAAATAACAGAAGAGTGGCAAAAGTAGACACACAGAGTCTCCTAGATGGTGGCACTTGGTGCGCGAGGCTTGGCACATCATGCTGATCCAGGGTCGGTGACACTATGGCATCCAGGTGAACCGGAACCACTGGATACAGGGGCGAGTCCCGTGGATCTCTGTTGTTACAAGCAACTACATAGAACTTCTCTTCTGGCTTGTCTGAATATTTGCAGTCTTTAACAGGGGTCGGTCGACTTGTGAGGTGACAATCGGTTAAACGCACTGGGACTGAACTCTTGTGACAATTTTTTCTTGTGGGGTTTGTAGGGCAGGGTATATTTGGGGTACCACAAACCTTAACTACATCAGGATAGGTTGTATTAAGAAAAGTATTCCTGGGTTTGCACTGTGGTTTGTAATGGTTAACTGACCGCATTGCAATAGTGCACCGGGGGTTGGTCATATTTACATGCTGGATCCGAAACCACTGAGTTGGGGTGAAATTACCAGGTGGGGCATCGAAGGAGCCCACCATTGCCACGAACCCCAGCAGCAGAATCAGACAGAGTTGGGAATCGAGCAGCTTTGGAACCATGTTTCCTGTGAGGAAAGAAGAGAAGTAACGACTCCTGCATCTGTCTCAGTTACCACACATGCTTCAGTGTCTGCAGGCCCCTCTGCTGTCAGGCTGGGGTCCCATTTCCTTTCCCTTCCTGTCCTCAAGGTGTCCAAGTGTCCCCTGCCTCAGTTGTTGCCCCATCACTGCCCCTCCTGTCCTCAGTTGCTGCCCTGTCATTGCCCCTCCTATCCCAGCTCAAGGGGTCACCGACTTACCCAGTCTCTGTGCTGTGGCTCCTGTGAGAAGTGATCCTGCCGGCTGTCCAGGGGCTCAGGCGCTGCTGGTCCCTCCCCACTTGTAAATATAGAGCAGGCTAGTGGGTGTGACTGTACAGCCAGGGAGGAGTGTCCTGATTAGCCTCCTTGTGCAATGAGACTTTTTGCTTGTCACTTGAATGATTAAGGCAAACCCCAGTGTGGGATAAAACCCTCACTTTAAACTCTAGAAGCAGGCAGACAGACTTTTGTGGAACGCAACTCTGTTGAAGACCTGGTAGCCTTGGTCAACATAGAACAGGGCCTGAAGGTTTGGGCCTAAAAACCCATCTTCAGTGACTCTGGCTATGTGGCTGGTAAGCCTGTGAGGAAAGGATTAAAAGCCTTCCTGCAGAGACACAGCCTAGAGGTTGACAGGTGTGAGCTTATCGGAAAACTATGTGACCGCCAGGTTGGCAGAAACAAGAGCCATAAACCTGCTATCTGCAATATAATGAGTGAATAGTAAAACTTGGAAGCCTTACTCCCCTCTTGATAATCTCAAGTCTCTGGATGTACTCCCTTTTGCAGCTGTCTCAAGTTTTCAAACTTTGTGTCTTTTTGAAGGTTGAACTAACCTTAGAAAAGATTAGTAGTAAGAATGCTTTGCTTGTTAATTAATAGAGTGTATGTGACCAGTCAACTATAAAAAGTGGTCAGGAACAATAAAGCTTTGCTACTTGCCACCAATGAGCGGGTAGTCTGTCTTTATCATAATAATAATTCCAGGGGCGAGCTTATACCTGTGGTGAAGCTGCCTGTCCCTCGCGAAACCATCACGCAACACCCCAGGATAACACCGCTTCTGCTTCTGTCATAGCAGATCTAAGGCATCCTGTGCAGGCGAGAGGTTTGCCAGGGCACCTGGATTCTGTTGATGAAAAACATATACTGGCTGCAGAAGGGACACAGATTTTATGGCTCTGCTCCCACTGGATGGTGATGAAGAGACTGCAGTGACTCCATTTTGTAGTAGGCTCCATTCTGAGCCTCAGGCCCAGTTCCGGGAAAAACCACAAGCAGCACCACCCAGGGAGGGGAGAGCCAACCCAGGTGGAGACAGCCTATGAGGAACAAACACAGCCCTTCCCAGGAAAGTCCCTAACCGCAAAAGGTCCTAATTTATCAGCACCCTGTGAGTGTCTATCAGCACTCCAGGAATCAGCTTTGACCAATCGCTCGCTTAGTAACTAGAAGGCCCCAAAGTTGCTATAAAAGACTGCCCTTGCCTCTGTATTGGGGTCGCCCCTGTGCAGCTATGCTGTCCAGTGGAATGACCCAAGCATATGCTTGAATAAAGACACTCCTTTGCTTTTACATGTGTGTACTGTGGTCTCTCAGTGGCAGATTGGGTCCAAACAGTGACTCATAAGGGCAGGCCGAGAGCAGATATTCAGAGCATGAGCCAGGAAGGGCTGTTTGCACAGCACAAGCCCAGGTCCCCTTCTGTTTCTAGTATTACCCCTGGCTCCTTCTCACAGAAATGTTCTCCATGTCATCACCCCCTCTCAGGTGGTAAACTTGAACTGTGAATTTCTTGCTGCCTAAAATTCTTCTAGTCATTACAGTAGTTTCTTACACATATTTGAGGTTTTCTTTTTTCTTTACTCCTCTTACATTGGATTCTTTTAATTCTTGCCCTGGTTATTGCTTTTACTTGGCATAAGGTCACATAATCTGAAGAAGTTCAGAGGAAAGTCACTCTGTGATCTCTGGCAGATTCAAGCACCACTCTGAGAGTCCGAACATCACTGCAAAGGCACGAGTTTTATTCATTCAAGCTTAGAGCCTGAGCTGCCCTTTAAGAAAAACCGGGAACAGCCCTTACAGACTATCTAGAAAGTCCCTTTATACCCCTCCCTTTTCCCTCCTATTAGACCATCCCACACTATCCCTTTATTGGTAGATAAACCATGTCCGTCCTAAACTGACAGGTACAGGGTGGTCGTGTTCAGGGTTGATTGGCTCAGGGACGAGTCTTTTTTTTCTCAGGTGAGTGAATGAGAAGGAAGGGATAAAGGTCGCAAGTGGGGCGTGTGCAGAGTAGAGTGGCGAGTGCAAAAAGAGGAGGGGGTTGCAAGTGGGGCAAGTGCAGAGTAGAGTGACGAGTGCAAAAAGGGGAGGGGATCAGGATGTGGGTTGAGTGCACAAGGGGGCTAGGTGGACAAAGGGGAGAGGGGCAGGATGTGGGCTGTAACACCTAGGAATGAGAAGGTCCTTGGTATGGGGGGGGGGCTGTTGTTCTGAATAAACAACAAAAGGAGGTAGTTTGACTTGTGACCTGAGTTAATTAGTTTGGCTCCCACATTCCCAAAAGGAGGTAGTTTGACTTGTGACTTAAGTTAATTAGTTTGGCTCCCACAGGTGAACATTTGCCGTCATAAAGTATGCAAAGCAGCACTGGGTTTTCTTGCTTCTTTTCTTCTTGTGCTGTTTTCTATAAAAAATTGTGTTCTGGAGCTGCCTAGTAAATTTCATTTTATGATGTTAACAGGAAAATTATTCTGTATTTATAAAACCAAAATTTAAGGACAGGACATTGTATTTTTGAAAGTATAAAGGTCGTGATGTATACTTTTTTTTTCTTTTTGAGACAGAGTCTCACTATGTTGCCCTCAGTAGAATGCTGTGGCATCACAGTTCACAGCAACCTCAAACTCTTGGGCTTAAGCAATTCTCTTGCCTCAGCCTCCCAAGTAGCTGGGACTCCAGGTGCTTGACACAACACTTGTTTTTGTTTTTGTTGCAGTTGTCATTGTGTTTTTTTTTTTAACCATTGAAACTGTTTTAATGTTGTTGCAATTCCAAAATGCAACCATCATCAGCTTGTAAAAGACCCAAATTTGAAAAATTCATTTTAATTATTCCTTCATACCTATTTTACAAAACAAAGGCAAAAGACATTTAAATCCTCCTTGTCCTAGTTGTGCTATGTTCCTAACTTGTTTCCTATCACTATAGGGTATGCTGTAATTCCCATCAGATGCTATATAAGAAAAAATAAAATAAAATAGTAACCTCTGCTTCAATGTACAGTTTCCAGAATCTGCCAGAACTGGGGAACTGGGCAACAAGACGTTCATAAGTCTTCCGTGCTTTGTCTATAGGTTGATTCTAAAATTGAAAACCAATAAAGAGCATTTACCATGTTAGGATCATGAAAACAGTATTTACTGCAGAACCCGGTAGTGTGCGTGGACTCATAGAGAAGGAAATGTAACCCTATGTCACTAAACCTGTGCCTCTCGAATGAGAATGTGCCAAGCATCAAGGTCATATGGGTTCTCTTCTAATTTCTTTTCGGCTTTCTTCACCTTCTCTGGGACATACTCAGCTGCCTGCTCCACGGCTCTGTCTTCTGACATAGCCCCAGCTGATTAGAACAGGAGCACTAGCCGTCAACTGGAAGCTAGAAAAGAAAAATTAAACTAAAACCACCCCCAAACCAATAAATTTACCCCCTGCCCAGCGGAGCCAGACAGCCAACACAAATTGCCACCGCCCACTCAGATATCTGTTGCAGTTGTCATTGTTGTCTAGTAGGCCCGGGCCAGGATCTAACCTACCACCTTTGGTGTATGTGGCTGGTGCCCTACTCAGTGAGCCATGAGTGCGGAGCCATTACATATATTTTGATACATGGAACAAACATGCTCTGTGTTGGTCCCCAGAGACAGAAAATAACAGAAAATAAGTGTAGACACTTAATTTTTATTACTGTGTGACAGAGGTGATACTGCTTGTGTGAACGTAGTTTTATGGGCACTGAGGATGAGGGAAGTCCCTTGGCCCAGTGGGACAAAACAGGTTTCCAGAAGAAAGAGCCACAGGAACTGACCCTAAGGATAAGCAGGGGTGTTTAGGGACTACGCAAGAGATGAACATTCTAGGCATAGGAGATGAACATTCTAGGCATAGGAGATGAACATTCTAGGCATAGGAGAT